GTCCACCTCCTCGTGGTGCCCCTGGAAATGTCACTTAAGACGGCTAAGAGACCCATACATCTCCGCGGGTGTTCTCGAACACGTTTTGTAGCGTGGACGTTGATGCCCTGGAGTATAACAAGCCCAGTTGAGGGCAGCCAAAGGCGGTGGGGGTGTTGTACTTTTATTACATATCACCCTATCCGTGGAGCCGGATAAGGCGGAATCCTGGTAGCCCTGAGTTGGTTCTGTCTGCGCTTCTGGTCATTCAGTTCTCCGCAAGCCTTCGGGCAGGTCGGGTTATCATTATTGAACTATCCCACTTGGCTGGCCAAGCCCACGAGCCCATACGTACTCATGATTGAAGGAGAAGGAAGCAGCTTCTGTTGTGATGGAGTACCCGTAGGTAGAAGTCTGACTTTGGCACCGTGACACTCTTACAGTCATAGGAGACCGGGACCTAAGGCTTAAAGTGGATTCCGAACCACTACAAACATCCATGGCACCGCCGGGATTCGAACCCGAAAAACCTGGGGAACCGAGCGCCAGACACTCGGCCATTCAGGTCCCAAATTTGTGAATGTCAACGGCACGCGGTGTTCCCAGGTGGTCACCCACCCAAGTACTGACCGCGTCCAATGAGGCTTGACTTCGGTGATCTAACGAGAACCGGTATATTCAGCATGGTATGGCCGTTGGCTTTAAATAAGCTTTCATATAAAATAAATAAAAAAAAAAAAATTACAATCTGATGTACCGATATGCATTTTTACGCATGAAATTTAAAAATTAATGTAAGATCAAAACTCATAAGAGCAATCACAAAAAATAAATAAACTACAGAATTCCAAACGTTTTTCTTTTTCTTGAAAAATCTAATTTTCACTTTTAAAAAAAAATTATATTTGCTTTCACTTAGCGATCTTTCAAAACAATTTTTCTTCTCAATTAAATTTTTACAAAAATTTTTAACAATTTCCCACTTATTTTGTAAACAAATATTATTCAAAAGAAATGCCGTATTATGCCTCTCGTAAATGACATTTAAAAATAAAGGCTCGTGAAAGAAATTTAAAAAAAAATACAAATTGCAGTGAAATGCCAAAAATTGAAAGAGGTCAAAGAAACGCAAAAACCACATTTCCCAAAAAAATACTCATATTTTATGGATAATAATTAAAAAACTAAAATGATAAAAATAATTTATCGTATAATTTAATGGATTCAAGAAAATAAATAATTTCATAAAATTCGTTTACAATTTTATACTACGAATTTTAAAAGAGTAGTGCTTTCTTTTTCTTTAATCTACTAAATAAATTTTTATTTATCAATTGATTTAATGTATTTTGAAGGTTTCCAAACTCATGTGTGAGACCAAAAGTTTTTCGAAGCATCGTCGGTTGAAAATTGATTAGAGATTACTACAGTCTATAAAGTAGAAATTTCTAATAGATAAAAATTTGAATAAATGTATTTAAAATGAATAATCTCAAATTAATTTTAAGGATTCACATAAAAGAGATTTTAGATAAAAATTTCCTGATGTATACTACAGTATTTCTTAAAATTATTAGAAATTTACAAAATTTAACTAGCAATAATATTTCTTTAATCTTCTTTAAATTTTTATTAAAAATTATATTTGGAAAATTTAGAGGAAATAACTTATATTTTTAAAAGAAACTTTGTTGATAGGTTTCAATTATTTAACTAACCAATGTTTATATTATTTGAGATATAAAATTGTAGATCAATTTTGAAAAAATTATTATTTAATATCTTCTTTCCATTAAGCTTTATGATTAACTATTTTTATTTATTTAGCTCCATAGGGCTATTTTTTTTATCGGTCTTAAATAAATGTTTACTTTGTAAAAAAAAGAATTTAATTTTTTTGTCTTTTTTTTTTATTCATAAATGCCCGTTATCATTCAAATTACTCAGTTAAATAATAAATTTAAAAATGAATAATTACTCTTTTTTCAAGAATTCTTCTATTACTTATAGCATTACGATAGATTACATGATTTTTAATTTCGCATCAAAATTTATATATTATTATTAACAATAAAAACATTTAATAGATCTTAGATCCTCTTGGATAGTGTCCTCAAATACTCTCATTTTCATATATACTTCTATGTTTACATGTAATTTATTTTATCGACCAATTTTGTGTTAATCAGCTCCTACATTTTAAAGGTGAATTCTCACCTAATACTACTGATAAAATCTGAAGATGTAGATCGATAGCCCTTCCTTCCGGCTCATTCTCTCATGTGCATTAAGCTTGAACTTGAAAGAAGCTTAAGCTCATTTGCTTAAGTTTCCTTCCATTTATTGACACCAAAAAAGATGCCTTTTCAAAAACATGGAAACTTGTAATTTTTTTTTTTTTTAATTTACCCATACCAGTACAAAAACTGATTTTTACTCTTGCTTACTGGGCCTGAATGGCCGAGTGTCTGGCGCTCGGTACCACAGGTGTCGGGTTAGAGTCCAGGCGGTGCCATGGATGTTTGTAGTGGTTCGAATCCACTTTAAACCGTAGTTCCCGGTCTAACAGGATCGTTGCGGGAGTATTGTTACTCCGCGTCGATCATACAGAGTAATTATCTCCTATTATTAGAGAGTTTTTGCATAACATTTTTTTATCGTCCGTTTTTTTTTCACCCTAGCGCGCATGCTCATAGGAAACGTTGTACTATTGCGCATGCATATCTGTAATAGTGTTTCCTATGAGAATGCGCGCTAGGGAGAAAAATATCGGACGATAAAAACGTTATGCAAAAACTCTCGATTATTATTTATCTTCAAGTTACACACACATCCTGGGTAGTGCTAAGTGAGTAACATCGGTGCAGCATTTGCCTTAAGTCATCAAAGACAATTGTCTAAGTGTTTGGCAGCTGCATTAGAATAAAGAAAAACTCTTGCTTACTCGTAAAGATTAAAAACTCGAAATGATATATATATATTATATAATTATATATTTAATTATCTATGCATATTTTTGTGCTAGTTCTTACTTTATATATTATCCTTTCTTTTCTTTTTTTTTTTCAATAATTCAACTCTACTATTTTTTTCTTAAAATTTCTTAATCTTGTTTAATCTTAAAAACTTCATTATTAGTTTTTCTTTCCATTATTTCTTTATTTATTATTCTATTATTATCTCTTTCCATTTATCTTTAGCGTTGCATGGAATTTTCTGAGTAGCATATTATTTTTTAAATAATTTTTATTTTTCTAATTCCAGTCTAATTCCAAAGCGAATCTAACGCTCCATTCTGGAATGATAATTTGCAATGATGGATAAAAATTAGAAAATAATGGAACAGGCTTTCAAATGAAATAAAGATTTAAGAATATTGAACATTGACTGAATAACTTTTTTTTTTAAATATAATAAGAAAAGTTAGCTACCCAAATGTGATCAATCACTCCAATCATTTATTTCTTTACAATGATTCATTACATTATGATTGGTGATAATTTGAAATATCTATATTTGACGCAAAGTGGCGTTCCTCTAATGAAATATGTGATGTTTCTCTATCAATTTTCTCTGGTACCGAATAACATCACCAAATCCAATTGACAACTTCAACCGATTATCCATTACCCAAGCAGTAGCAGTTATTATCATTATCCGATTATCTGTTATCCATTACGGGTAGTAACGTCTTAAAATCGAGGTGACTAGAGGAAGCCTTTTAAAATCCATATTTTCTGTAAAATTATCTTGTGTGTGGCAAAAAAATTGCTAAAATTCAATGTCGTCTAAAATATTTAATAATCTATTTACAGAATTTACAAATACTTAATACTTAATTACAGAATGTAATTCATTATCATCTAAAACAAATTGCGTCAGTGTGCAAAAATTTGAACTTGATAGCTTACCAGGAAATAGTTTCAAACTATTACAAACTTCTGAACATAGCCAATGAGTAAGTTTCTCTTAGCTTACCAATATAAGCAAGTTAAAATACAAAATGCAGTCAATACAAAGAAAACTTCCATCAAAGTTTTCCTCGTAGATCCTTAAAATTTAATATGAACTAGAAATCTATTTTATATGGAAAATCTGTGTCAATTACTGTTATTATATAATTATACATTTATTGCTTTCAGAAACGACTCTTAAGATTTTTAAAAATCATATTTAAATTTATAACAAAATTTTTAAATACTTACAAAGTATTATTAATATTTTATTCAGTTTTTAAAGAATACAAGTACATATATTTTTTGGTTATATTAGTAAAAAATTATGCATTTATTTAATTTTAGAATTCGGCATTTAATCAGATTGTATCAATCTTACTACCAGCTTTCTATTATGTTATGTAAAGAAAGAGTTCTATTACAGATTTTTGGATTATTCCACAATTTCTACTTGTTGATAAGTATTTTCCAGTAAGTATATTATTTTTTTTTTTAAATTGTGGGTGTGCTTTAAATAAGTAATTCTCATATGTGAATTCTCATGTGATAATGATTTTCTCTTTACAGAATAATTTACAAAATTGATGTTTTTCTGTTTGATTGAAGAGAGAAGATTATGCGCTTGGTTCTCAAAAAATAGTTTACAAAATTTCAATTAATTCAAAATTAATTATTACAAATTTCAATTAATTCAAATTAATTATTACGAAATTTCAATTAATACAAATTTTTTATTTTAATTTCCATTTGAATAATAAAAATAAAACAAATATTGTGATATGAAGGACATTAAAAAACTTATCTGATGAAAAAATGCAACAACTTCAAATATTAAATAGCAATACTATTTTCCTATAACAGCAAACCGGAGCGATGTGAATAAAAATGTGGATAAAATAAAATTTGGAATAGAAATTTGTCGCATTCCATAACGATGTTGGTTTCTTTTCATGGAAGGTAACTTATTTACACATTTTAATTATTACTAAATATTTGCAATTAAATAATAGACCTACAATCAAAAATCTGTTTTTTACACATGGTCATCCTCTTCTCAGCACTGCCGGTTCGGAGGTTTAGGGGTATGATTCTCGCTTAGAAGGCGAGGGAGCCCGGGTTCAAATCCCTGCCGAACTCTGTTAATTTCTCAATATAAATTTTTGGATTATTACTAGATCCAAAATTGTCTTTTAATTCCCACATTAAAAACACCATTACCAAGGCAACTGGTGCGAGCGTTAAGCTCAATAGTTTAATTTCTCGAAAGAGTAGGCTAGCGATCAAACTTCTGCTCTATAAATCCATCATTAGACCTATTTTCGTGTATGGTAGCCCAATTTGGGCCTCCACTAACCTCACCAATATAAAGAGACTGCATGTATTTCAAAATAAATACCTGGCTATGATTGTTAATTTTTCCTGGATTGTTCGACGAAAATTTATTCACAGAGATCTGGACGTCGAACCTATTCCAAATTATCTTATCAAAATTTCGAAGAAATTTCTTAAAAAATGTCCTCAGATTAGCAATGAGTTAATTTGGCGCCTGTCGACTTATCACCCTGGTGTGAAAAGTCTCATCTATAAGTGTTTCCCCAAATTAAAGAGACACCATGGCTGTTATTTTGAGCAAGCGCAAGTGAACTCAGTTAACACAGTGGATTTAAACGTTCACTGAGACAAATTTTCTCATTGTGTATCTGAGAACATTTTTGACTTAAAAAATTGCTGTATTCCAATTGTCGAATTGGCGCAGAGGTAAAGAAAGGGGCCTCTGACCGCGAGGTCGAAGGTTCGAATCTGAACTCAGCAACTTTAGCTATTCTGCTACGATGTTCATCTTGACTAGTGACGCAGTTTGGTTTTATTTTATTTTATTTTTTTACCCCTTTTTTTTTTTTGAGCTAAATAAAAAGATATCAAAAATCAATACAAAAACTTTATCAAAAAATGAAAACAATAATATGTTATAAAAATAAAATACCAGAACTTTGGTTCTGAGATCGGCCTTTTTTTTTACCAGGGGGGGGGAGGGCGTTTTTAATTGGGAGTCTTTTAATTGCTTTTTTTTTAAAGATTCATCATTACGGATCCTACGCGTTCGGCATATCTCAATATTTTCATATCATTCTTCAATAGTTTTATGGCATCGACAACTGGTCCTTAATTGTACAGAATTTAAACTTAAAATTCTTTTATTTTTAATTTCAAATTTTATTTTTATCTTACTTTTATTTATTATCAGTATTTTTTTAATTTTTGAGTACCATATTTTAATTTTTTGAAACTTCATCTTCCATATTTAACTGGTCTTAAGTAGCCAATTAAAATCGTAAATATATATATATATATATGAAATAAGATGATGAGGTTAAGGGTCTATCCCCATTGGTACTCCGCAATCGGTACGCCAGTTGCCAATCGTCTGTCTTTTTTTTTACCGACCCCTTCTTTTTTGTCCGATATCCCCCGGATGCAAGCAATACAATAGCCACTGGGGTGCGAGGAGTGTCATCATCCACGTCAAAACCTCTTCATCTAGAAATGTTAGGGAGGGGGACAGTCTGCGATTCAATGACCTTCACCTCATTCCTCCAGTCTATTGACAGATGTTATCCAGCATATCGAAACTATTTTCAAGTTTCGACACCGTGCAGTCTCTGTCTTTTTCCCTAGAATCACATATATAAATTCGCTGGCAACTGGCGGTACGATTACGGAGTGCCAATGGGGATATACCCTTAACCTCCTCATCTGAATTCAAAGATATGATTATAATTTTAATTGGCTGCTTAATTATAAAAATTTCAAGATAAAAATTTCTAAATTAAATAAATGGTACTCTAAAAAGTTAAAAATATTAATAATAGTTAAAAGTAAAATAAAAAATTAAAAATAAAAGATTTGAAGTTAAGTTTAAATTCGGTACAATTAGGGACCAGTTGTCGATGCCACAAGACTATTGAAAAAATAAACAATGCAGTGTCCTCTAACAAAATAGCTCGCATGCTATAACTTTACGTTGTAATAAAATGAAATGAGAGCAAAAAAAACCTAATATACTAAAAAAGTTACAGAAACAAAATAATAGATATGCACTTTTTTAAAAATTTAAATATTTGTCTATTTATAAAAGACAGATACTCAGAAATTATCTAACACAACATTAAAATGTCTTATCCACTAAAACGGATTCATAGCCTAAAAAGACACAAATAAGGTCATCCGCATGAATTATGTTTGTCTTTAAATTATTATTTTTGTTCTTATATTCATGATAATGCATTATCTATTATATTATTTTTATTTTGTTTAGGACCAATGGAAATTTGGTACAAAGAAAGAGCTACTAACATTCTCTGCAATCCTTCAGTTAAATATTTCAGGGAATTATGATCAGTATACAACTCCGTTATTATTTGAGCAGCATTATTCATTATTTGTCATTACTCTCTTATTATTTGAGCAGCAGTCAATTTCTGGTTTAGCAGTTTTCGGATTACTTTTAATACGTCGTTGCATCAAGTAAGCTATTCCTGCTAATGCTTCATTGTGCAATTCAATTCAATTGTACAATGTTTACTTATATCAGGTGTTTAGAGTAAGAGGGCCATGCACTGCCTCTGATTGAGAAGGCTAAATTCAATTTCAGTCTCCTGTGACCATGGGATTTTATTAAGCTCGGTCTTCTTGGTAAAATCTGTTACAGGCTTGGCAATAATGAAGGTAATGAAATACACATGTAATATATATGGGACTTTTAAACTGTTATATGCCCTATAGCAGTTTAAGAGTCTTACATGTTTTAACTTTTGAATGACCATTGATTTTCTATGTATCTGAACCCTATTCTTTTGAACCAATCATGCGTCTCAGATATACCACCTTTGATTTTTTATGAAAATGAATTTACCTTAGTAAATGTAAACCTTAAAGTAACTTAGATATTATACTATTTTAAAGATTAAAATTTCTGGTATATGTCTTAAATGATCATTCCATATTAAAGAAAATATTATTGTATCATCCACTAAACTTTCAACTAACTCAATATGTGATTGTAAAATGTGAATCATAATCCTCAAGAATGTCTTAGGTGCTCCAGGCAATCCGAAAGGTATAGCATTTCATTGATACGTTCATTTTGGAGAAACGAAACTGGTCGATTCGTGAACATTTTCTTTCAATGGAATTTCCCCATAACCTTTCATAATATCAAAGAGTACTTAAATATTTTGCTTTACCTGTTTGAAGCATAATTGCTCCAAGTTTTGGTTAGGAAAAGGCGTCATGAATACTTAAATCCATGAAACTGCTTAAATCCATGAAAATCGTAGCACAAGTAAATTATTCCATATTTTTTTTTGCAACACACACATTACAGGTTCTAACAAATCTTTTACCGGGGAGGGGGATTTTCCAGGAGATTTAAGTGCTGCTTTAAAACCGCGAGGAATATCTCTTAAGTATTCGGAAAGTTGAGTTCGTACTTTTGAGTTGGTGAAATTATTTCAATTAATCTGTTTGTAATAAACTTTTTAGTCCTTCATCCACTTTGGGATGATCTTCTAAAGGCAAGGTTGTATTAAGCCGCATTCCCGATCAACTTCATACATTAGTCCTACTGTCATAATGTGTTGAATATATTTTCACGGTTTGTTCTGATGTACTTCCATCAGGTAATCTAACTGCGAACTAATGCGGAGACTTCTTTTCAGCTATTTATCTGGCTCATTTCCACTTTCAACAATATTTATTGGAACTGACACTATTACTTCATTTCTTTTCTTCGAACTCTAGACCTTAAGTTATAGAATTAAATTTATTTTTTCTGTTGATTCTTTGAAACCTCCTGCGCATATTTTATGGTATTTTCTAGATGCTACTACATCTTCTTTCCAGCTTAACCTACAGAACTTACGTGAATGTCAATGCTCCACGAGAAATGTTTTCACACCTGTTGTAGCATTTGGAACTTCTCGATATTCCAACATCAAAAATTGGTTACTGCTTATTCCAAAATCGTTTCTGGTAAATTATAACATGATGTTAGATAGTCTTCATAGTTCCATTTCAAACCCTTTGGATTGTGAATGCCCTGGTATGTCAAAATTTGGGACTAATCCAAAATATTTCAAAGATGAATTTTTCAGCAAAGTTCGTATCATTAACCATGGCAATAATTCTGGGTATACCAGACTCCATAAATATTTTGAATAATGTACCACAAGTTGCTTTAGATGTTAATGATTTAATAGGTATTGCATCTGGCCAGCGGCTATATTAAGGACATATAGCAAGTACTTATGGGCCCGGGGTGCTGTCATTTCAATAAATCCCAAAATATCTGCATTCCCCACTTTTAATGAGTGTTTTAGACAACACACAGTTTCTATCGACGATATGCCTTCGTTTAAACCTTCACCTCGCATCACACCCTGGCAACTTTTCACCATAAGAAATTCTTTCACAGCATTTCCTCCACATGAACTTTTTACTTTTCCGAAACTTCATAAATTTCCTTTACTAATTCTGCCGGCGACTGGCACTTTTTTTTGTACTACTTAAAGACAATGGTTCGTTTCATTGAAGGAAACATAGCTACAGTGTTCAATATTCATGTTGTAATTATAACTTAGCATTTACAAACCAAAATGCTCTCCATTCATGGCTAACCTCGTTCCAGTATGTTCAGTCTCGTGTATCTTTTTCTGCTTCTTCCTTTGGCCCGATATTCACCCCGAATGTTTTTGGTTTTGTTTGTCAATCTACGGTCCTTTTGTGCACACTTTAGGTTAATTAGACCGGGATTTACAATTTAACCTGGATTCCGAACCACTAACATACATCCGTACCACCGCCAGCATTCGAACCTGAGGCATTTGGTACCAAAAGGCCAGAGCGCTAGCCAATTGGCCATCTGGAGCCCACTCGGATGTGACCAAATCGGTAGCAACTGGGGTGATAAGAATGCCCCAAAGAGGAATGCCAGTCAACAATTCATTGAATTTCACATAATTTTTTTCCATTTCAGTTTTACTTGTAGTTCAATATATATAGATAGATAGATAATATAAATAGAATATATATATATATATATAAACATATATAAAATACCTGTAAATTAAATAGTTATG